CACAGCGGTCTCAGAGGAGCCCATCGGAATGTCGTCGTAACCAGTTTTCCTGTAGGGCCAAAACCCTTTAGAACGAGCAGACCCGCACCGGTTAACCAAGAGGACAACGTTAACCACGTCCTTCAACTGGCAGCGAGATCTGTTAGAGATTGGATTCACTCCACCCAGATGGACTCATTGCACAACTGACCTAGAAAATTCTGGACTCTATTGTGACAGCAACAAGTTAAATATTGATTAATGACATCCATCAACCCCGAACAAAAAAGTTGCCGAACGACAGGAAGTAGATGCGATTTGCTTTAAGTTATTGAGGCATGAACACACCCAAGCTAGTCTCCCATTTTTAAATATTTTTGGATTTTGGCATTGTGGGTAGAGTTTGAAAATATTTGGATATTTAGGGGACATTGAAAAATATTTGGGAACCCCTCCGGTTGAGCTCTGCATTCAACACGGCCATCATCGGGGTGACCTCGAAGTCACTTGAAAAATATTTGAATTTTGTAGAAGTTTGAGGGCATTTTGAAATATTTTGTGAACCCCTCCGGTTGAAATCTGCATTCAACACGGCCATTATCGGGGTGTTTGGAGTCATTTCTCTTTTGTTGATTGAACCCTGTCAACTCGATCAAGCTATTGATTGAGGATTGGGTTTCTTATAGGCTTTGTGCCTTTGTTTAAGAATTTTTTTGATTTCAGGCCTTGAATGCCGAACATGAATGTATTGGAACAAATACATCGGTCCCCACAACCGTGTATCTATTTGATAGTTCGAACCCTGTCGACTCCTATTGATCAGTATAGAAGGATCGGGTTCTGTGGGCTTCATACCTTTGTGTATGAAATTTCTTGATTTTAGGCTTTGAAGGCCTAAAAAGAATGTATTTAAACAAATACACTGGTCGCTACAACCGTACATTTCGTTAGACAGTTCGAATCTTGTCAACTTCTATTGATCCGTATAGAAGGATCGGATTCGAATCTTGAATTCACTTGTCAACCCGTGTAGCATCCATAGGCGTCACGTGTGTACCGATAACACGCTCGCCAGGGCCCATGCGGGTTGAGATTATATTTACCCTTCGTGTACCTATGTGTATACAAACTACGGTGCATATGTAGGGGTACTTTAAAATATTTGTAGTTGTGTAAATAACTATCGTTTGGGTGCACACAACTTTTCATTTGAAAGCTTATACACGCCTTCTGTCCGCTAATATGAGTGTCGCGGATCCGGTGGCGGTGGATTGTTGACTCCCCCTTTCTCAATCACCGGGGATAGATCTTCTGGATTTTGGAGTCAAAGATTGCTTGATTTGGAAAAAAACTCCTTTTAAGCTCTTCGGCGAAGTGGACTTGCTATTTCCAGTGTTTGTGGGCACCTTAATTGCTTTTCTTCTAATGTGTAGAACCAAGAAGAAGCTTTGGAACACCAGGAAGTTTGGTTCTAATTAAACATTTCCTCTCTTCTGTTAGAGGTGTTCTTCGTACATCGGGCTGCCTTTGTACCCGGTGTACTTAGAGATTTTGATCACTGCTGTCGTAGGTGATATTTGTACTTGTGTCCACAGTGATTCGATGTGCTTACGATGTATCCACTGTTGTTATCCACAAGCTGTTTGTAGCCATTTGCAGGGGACTATTATACTCACTACGATCTCCTGAAGGTATTTGTAGGAGACCCATTGACATCAGTATTGTGTCCACCTTTCACCAATCTCAGGTGATCCACCCTTTCACCAATCTCGGGTGGGTTTTGTCGATTGTATTTGTTTGTAGGAAGGCGGGTCTTTGATTGCTGATCTCCAATATTGCCTTCTCAATCAACAGGCCATCGTAGGGATCGTCGTAGGAGATATTTATACTTGTGCCCACAGTGGTTTGTTGTGCTTACGATATGCCCACTGTTGTTATCCACAAGCGGCTCGTATTTGTTTGTAGGGACCCATTGTGTTTGCTACGAGCTCCTAAGAATGTTCGTAGGAGACCCTCGTTTGTCCACCTTCACCAATCTTAGGTGGATTTGTTGGGTTGCATTTGTTTGTAGGAGGGCAGATTCTCCGTCATTTGGTCTTCCGTATCGCCATCTCAATCAACAGGCGTTGTAGGAAATTATCGTAGGAGATTCCAACAGCATATGTAGGAAGGACACCAGTTGTAGCCACTACGAGCTCGTAGGAGTATTTGTAGGGGAGTTGTTGTCAACTTTGCCATCTCCACCTTTCACCAATCTCAGGTGGTAGCTTTGACTGGCGTTGAATGTGAGAGGGCGATGATGCTCAAACCAGGCTCAAGTTCAAGCCCTTTCAGGATCAGTTTAAATCAGGTTCATGAGCTTAACGTGCAAGCTCAGTTCTATGTCCTCTGTAGTCTGAGTCTTGTTCCATTTTAGTGCCTTTCACACTTAGTTCCTTTGAACTTGAGTCTGAATGCATGTTCAAATGATTGTTCGGAGTCTTCTGGAATCTTTTGAGTTCATTTGTATATTCAATTTGGTTTGAATTCAGTTCCAATTTGACTTGATTTTTATTTGAATTTAATCTTTAGAAATCCAATTTTGTTCTTTGTTCTGAGTCAGGTCCACAAATCTACAGTTCACTGTTCTTGTTTATGCTCAAAGTTCACTGCCCTTTCTTGTTTGGTCCAAACATTTTGTTCTTTTGAGTTCAAAACAGGTCCAAGTGTAGTAGTATTTCATCCGAAATTTCGGCAGCCTCCCGGTGTCTCCCCCGTTTAGGGGAAAACAACGAGAAAACTGGGCCTTCCCACCACGCGCAATAAAGGCGTGTATGGTAGGTGCCCTCTTTCGAGGACACCGCGGCCGTGATTTTTCTTCCCACCACGCGCAATAAAGGCGTGTATGGGGTCTTTGACGGTACCTGTTACAAGAAAAGAGCAGTTGCTTTCCCCCCGCCCGGGGGTACTTATAAATCATTCCGGCCGCGCAAAGAAAAGGGTACACCAGGCTCGCCTGGCCTCGCCGTGTGCGTCGAACCGGTTTCCCTCCTACCACGCTCACTAAAGGCGTGCTTAGGTGGTTTGCCGGCTCGGCGCGCATGTCGAGATAAGAGAGAGAGGGTCGCTCGCTTACCTTGTCGTAGGTGTCGCGCCAGTTGCCCCTCCCACCACGCTCAA